AAATTAATAAATTACTTTGAGATCCCTGCAAAACAATTAAATTTTTCATCTATCTTCAAGAAGACAAATGATTCAATAGACCATATGAGTCCAAATAAGTTTTTTATGTAATTTTTTAAACTTGTTAGGGTACACGTAGTTCACTTTGGAATTTGTTTTAGTATGCACACAAAAATTCATTTAAATTATAAAAACTATTGAATCATTCCTAAAATTTTAAAAACTCCTGAACAACGGGTCTGCTTGGTTGGTTTTCAAAATATGCCAAAGACAAAGATTTGGAAAGCCATGATTTTGGCTATCATTTGGTTTGCTACCAAAACTTACCAACCTCTCACATTTGCTTTTCCAAATCTATGGCAATTGTTTTGTCTAGTTTTTGCTTGCCAAATCATTGGTATGACAAATTTTGGTCGCAAACCAAGCAGATCAACATATATATTGTCTATTGCATGTGAATAAAGTTTTACTATACATAAGACAAAAGTTTTATTCGATAACAAATACCTTTAAGAAAATTAAATATATGGTAACAAAGACTTTTTCGGGAAAGATGCACAACCTTCTATTAGTGTAAAATCCTAAAACATATTATAACACAGTTGTAGAATACAAGTTGTGTACGGTCAAATCGTCATTTGAATGACCACCTCATGAACCTTCTTCTAGCTCCGTAAGTAGAGGTATCAAAGCCTGGCAGAGGGGTCAATAAGGTTGGGACAAGAGAGTGAGCCAATATCTCTTCCTAGCCCAAGATCGCGCTAGAATTGCTCATGACGCGTCTTAGATCCGTCATAGCTCTATCTTCACGAACATTTTTCTGGTACCTCTCATACACCATCATAAATATGACGGGAAGATGTATGAGAAGGGCTTTCTCCTAGAAACAGGGTTCCTCCAACAGAGAGCGCATATTGAGAGACTACAAATGATGCTCGATAATGGTCGTGTAGGACTACAAGAAGGGGACCTCATATGTTTGTGTAGGATGATCGGTTTGTACAGACACATGATTTATAACAAGAAATATAATGGTGGTAGCTGGATCCGATGGTAGAGAATAACATAATTAGTGGTAGGTGGGTCCAACAGACAGAACATGGTCAAGTCAAAACATAAACAGGTAGTGATGTCCATGGATCACTATTGGTTTGTTCTTGAACTGGCAATGATACGTGGACATGATTTTCAGCGTATGGCTCGCCTGACAGTGATGTATGTCTATCATTACCATGTTATCCTTGACATAATAGTGATCTACTTGGTTTATGAAAATTTGCTTGTACAATCTTATAATAAATAGGTGAAACTCCACTATGGTCAATAGCATGGCCATTCTCATAGTCCTCCTCATGTCAATTCTTGGGCGGTCTGGGAGAAGGCTTTGCATGTCTTGTCCCACCTTCTCTAGCTTAGAACGTAGTGACGAATGCGCATCGAAGGCACTAGAAGAATGCTCGTGAAGATAAGGCCGTGCCGACTACCCGAGCACGGTTTTGTATAATTTTCTTTGGTTGCATGTTATACTTCATTAACTTGGGGTAAATGTAACATTGTGTATTCATTTTATGAATGATGTATGGACAATATGGGCCCAAATATAATTTTTATGTAATTTTTTTAATCTTAGTAAATATAGTTCAATTTTGAATGTCTTTCAATGGACACACAAAAATTCATTTGAACTATAGAAAATAGTGAATCATTTTCAAAATTTCAAAAATTCCTGGACAACAACATATATGTTTTCGATTGCATGTGAATGAAATTTTATATGACAATAAAGACCACCAAAAAAAGTATATATACGACAATAAAGACATTACAGCGTTCTCCCGACTAGGCAATGTTAGTGTCCAAACCTACAAACACATTATAACAGCGTCACGAACCTTCTTATGGTACCCTTAGTGGTGTACCAAAGGTGCCAAAGCATGGTAGGTAGGTAGAGGAGTCACTCCGGCTACGAGTTGTGATGAACCAATGCTTCTGGCTTGGACACCATGTCGCCCAACAACTAACAGGGTTACACTAGCATTGCTCCTAGTGCGTCTTGAATTCGACGTGGCTTTGTCTTTATGAACTTTCTTGTAATACCTCTCATACACTATCTTCACTATGAAGGAAAGTTGTATGTAAAGAATCAATACCTATAATTAAAGAATTGTTACTTGTTGAATTTTCGTGTATGGAGTCATTATATTGGGACAAGGCCATGGGCATCTAGAATCCATATAATGGATTTTCAAATTGTGAATTTAAAAGGTCCCTCTCATGAGACTCAACCTCATGGAAATGTTGATTTGTGTACTTCTATCAATATTTGATCCCATCATTTTTCATGTATCGACCTAAGTCATTTCTGTAATTGATGTTCTTTTGCTTTTTTGGCCCAAAAATCATTTTACATGCAACTTCAACTTCAGGAACTAAGTAAATATCACAACAAAGTAGAAATGTAGGAACTTTAATTTGAGTTTGTAAATTATTTAAAATTTCATGGGACCACCGATATCTTGGGCCCACATATGTCAGACCACCAATAGTAAGATCCGAGAAACAGATAGAAACTACTGGTCGCCTAACTCAAGCAATAATCCATAATAATCATATATATTCTTCTACAAGTAGACCAACCGTTACTGAACATTTGTGCAATCTCAGTTATCAAAATGATAATACTAGTGATCACCTAACTTGCGCCCTCGCGTTCATGTTCTTCCACAAGTGGACCTGCTGCTATGGAACACTAGTGTCGTATCAATTATGAAATTCCTAGTAGTAGGCCCAACTGTCACCAATTTAATAAACACAAGACACAACGCCCATACTCCCAAACTATCTTCCATATATTACTCCGTATAGTATATTACAACTTGTGTGCAAGTTGCCGCAGAAAAGATGCTGGTGTAGCTGATTTAAACTTAGCACCAAAGGTTGAAGCCGATATTCCCTTTGGATCAAATCAAGTCCATGTGGTGGCCATGTTAAATTTGTCCTTTTTGTCAATCAAGAAATCTCTTGGATCTACCTATATATATTTGATAACATAAAAAAGATCAAGATTTAGTAATTTACACATCCCATTCTGCAGTAAGTACTGTTGTAATCGCCAAGAACACAAATAAGAAACAGTATTAAACTAGGAATAGTGACTGTACTGGTCCATTAAATACAAGTACAAATAGTTTCAAAATTATTGATCTAGAGTAGAGTTGGGATTAGAGTTGTTGCCACCTTATCTTAGTGACATTTCTGTACTGGGTTTGCACCTGTTTTGCTGCTCTTTATGTGAACAAACCTGAGCAAGTTAGAGTTAAGCATCATCATCATCACCATCAAAGGTAGTGGCATTATGCCGTGCGTGCCCCAGAAAGCAGGAGTATGCTAATTAAGGACAGTACTAAAAAGGAGTGTCTTCACCAAGCACCTGAGTTGGATTCTAGCTGTGCCATTGCTGCCCTCTTCTGAGCAACTTGCATCAAAGGTAGATTAAAAAAAAACAGCTCTTGAACAGAGCTGCAGTTGAAGAGTAGTTTATTTTTCAACGTTGCTGGCAGACCATAATAAGATGAACTAATGATGCTGTTTTATTACACTGCTGTATCATGTACTATTTTAGTGTAGTATAAAGTCTGTCAGTTGCTGAACCGTTCTGAAAGGGAATAGGCAAATCTAGGCTAGCTAGCTTAGCTAGCCAGCTCAACAGTGTCCCATGCAAGGCACGAGATCATGACTATCGATCTGGAGTATTCTAATGCTAAGCGACACTGTTAACTTCATAATTAAGGGATGGACAGTGACCGGACGGAACGGAGAAGTCACTGGTTTGGCCAGCGGTGCGTGTGGATTCGTTTCGCTTGGACCAGAGCAGAGCTGCCGTGGAAGACATATTCTTCCTCCACAATGTTTTCGAAGGTTTCAGACATGGCTAACTTCTCCACGTAGAGAAGGATATATTCTAAGGGAAGAAGCTAGGAAATGCTGGAGAAAGGGTTTTGTATTAGTGTCTGGAATTGCTAAGGCCCCCCACTAGAACGCAAAAGAACTTTCTCCAATCATGCATGATTTTTTTTGGACAACAATGCATGAGTTGAAATGCTAGTTTCTTTTGGAATTAGAGTCAAATCTTTGTGAGATTACTGCTTTTTTTTCTCAATATTTGGGCAAGTTTCAGTTTTATTGGGAATGGAGAAGTGCAGAGCTCTCTAAATATATGCATTATTTCATAAACTTTGTTTTGAGCAATTATTTCGGAAAATATTTCCGTGTTTGTTCCTATATTAATGTCTACAACTTTATATTGATTGATTGATAAAGCAAGATTGACTTCACTAGATTTCATTATTAAAAATACATTCATAACATCTTATTAATTTTCATTTAAGAGAATATATTTTTGTGGATACTTCTATCAAAGTTAAGAAAAAATATGGCTTCGGAGGATTTGTATATAGACTTATAGTATTTGCGACAGTGATTAGAGGAATTACTAATTGTTACATTTCCTCCAGTTATTTTATGAACCATTTGTTACGTGCATATGGTTGCTAAGCACGCGTTAAACACCTTGGTCTATAGTATTAAAATTTATGTCCAGCGTCAAAAGTCAAAACCTAGTTCCATTTCGCAACCCATGTTGTTTGCCGCCAGAATGTTTCCTTGCTTGGGACAACAAAAAACAAGAAACAGCGTTGGAGCTGCCAAGAAGAGAAGTGCTCAAGATTTTACAGCTGTGGCGGGTGACTAGACTCCACCGCCGCCGCCACGTCACGCGCACATGCATCCCCCATGGCACAACCCGTTCAGACCACCACCCCCACAGTTCATACAGGCGGGCCCCACCAGTCCCTCTCTCTCTTGCAACACGCCCTCGTATTTATACCCCCTCTCTCTCCCACCGAGCGTCCAACCAAGCAGAGCAAGAGAGAGAGACGAGGAGCCACCTGCCCACCGCGTTCCCGAGAGAGACGCGGAGGGTGAAAGCAGCCGCCGCGACGATGTGGAGCTCGGACTCCCACCGGGACGAGCCCATCGACACGGCGACCACCACCTCGTCGCCCGCGCAGCAGCCGTCGACGCCGCCCGCGCCGCCTCGGCGGCGGCGCCAGCACGCGCGACGCCGCGCCCAGCGCCTCCGTGCCAAGAACAGCGGCGCAGGAGAGGAGGAGGAGGAGCAGGAGGCCGAGGCCGAGGCGGAGGACGTCTGGCGCGGGTTGCAGCAGCAGCAGCGGGAACGGGAACGGGAGGCGTGGCCGCGGCGGGCGTCGAGGCCCGTGGTGGTGGTCGCCGGCGAGGAGGGGTCCCCGGACGCCGCCTCTGCCGCGTCAGGGGAGAGCGGCGGCGGGATGGAGAGGGCGCGGAGCCTGACCGACGACGACCTGGAGGAGCTCAAGGGCTGCGTGGATCTGGGCTTCGGCTTCAGCTACCACGAGATCCCCGAGCTCTGCGGCACGCTGCCGGCGCTCGAGCTCTGCTACTCCATGAGCCAGCGCTTCTTGGACGAGCACCAGCGGCTCAGCAAGGCGGAGGAGGCGCCGGCGCTGGCTCCGGCCTCGCCAGCGCAGCCCGTCGCCACCAACTGGAAGATCTCTAGCCCTGGTAAGCTCCAACTGTTTCGACCTCTGCTTGTTGTTCTTGATTCGTGATGGGACATAGCAAATCTGTTGGAGAACGTAGAAATCTTAGCGGAAAATCGTTTATTGACTCTACTTGATGGCAATCGAGCTCATGTGTTGTTGTATGCCATGCTTTAGGTGACAGCCCGGACGAGGTGAAGGCGAGGCTCAAGTACTGGGCGCAGGCGGTGGCGTGCACCGTCAGGCTCTGCAGCTGATCAATGGTGCCACCATCAATCTTGCGAACAAACTTGGTACAAGACGAGGATGAAAGAAACCCATTCCATTTCCGACCAACGCAGGGCATCTGCTCAACATACAGGAATCGTGGCAACGCCGACGAACACAGAAGCATCTAAATCAAGATGCCTGCACTCTGCATCGGATCGTGGCGTCACGATGATCATTCATTCGTCAGACAGAAGCACAAAGACAGAGTAGTGAATTCAAATCTTTTTCGAAATTTTTGATGAGATATGTGCAGGAAAGGAGAGGGGCCCAGGTCACCAGTCATTGTCTGATGTTGTACTCTACTCACACGGATCCTTGATTCTCGCCTTAATTTTTGCTCATGTAAAACAACACCACACCTGTGTAAAATATATTCATGAATCCTGATTTGATCAGAAATAATCGCATAATTCCACGCTGAGCTGTGCCGTCCTTGTTTCTTTGTCTGTGTTCAAGCTTTCACATGCAATCTGCCGGCTACCTTGCCTTCATCGGGAGGCTAATGGACCCATTCAATGGGAGGTGTCTGAACAACATGTCCATCACTTTGGTCCTAATCACGAGCCAGCTGTAGCATACAATCATACTACAAGTGTTCCTTCTTTTTGCGAAAAGAAACGTTTTTTAATCCAGGTGTGAATGAGCCAGACTTCTCCGGCTAGATATTCAATCTCAGATCTGCAGGCAGCTGCAGCTCGTCTGTGCTGAGCCTGCCTGACTGGCCTGCTTTGTTCAGAAAAGTTATGTGATCAGAATCAAAATTAGACCGCCGCACTGCGATAACTGTTCCTCCATGTGCGCATTTGACCCTGCAACCTTATTTCTCAATTCTTTAAAGTTGGATTAAAGATACAGCTGGAAATTTCTGAATATTATACAGCTGGAAATGTCTGAATATTAGGTCAGTTTGTTGAGAACGAGTAGCAACATATATACCAGTAGAATATGACAACTAACTAAAAAGATTGTATTTTGATGCGATAGAGGTTGCCAAGCTGCCAAACAAACAAGCACAGTACCTCGAGCTCGATGTGCATTCAGCATTGTGCATGAATCTTGGGGAGAGGGGAGCTGCAATGGTCATGGTCGCCTGCTCAAGAGGCCAGAGAACAACAATGTCATGACATTTGGTTAAGGCTAATGGGGCCATCCAAGGTTGAATATACGCACCCACAGGTGGCACTACTTATGTCAGGATGTTTTGTTAGTGTTTTCGTGGAAGCTTGGACCTAATTGTCAGGTAGCTCAAACGGCGTCGAAAAGTATGCAGTCTTGGGTCCACTGCTATCAGAAGTAGAATACGTGGCCGGACGATGACATGGCTCGAAAGCGAGCGCCATTTTTGTTTGGGCTTGTTTGACTTATAAGGCATGGCTGAAAGTACTGTTGGTTGGTTTGGTGTGAGAGAAAAATGCTGTTCGTTGACTGATAAGTCATAGCTTATAAGCCAAATACGACCAAGCGAATAGGCTGGAGATCTTTGGCGATCGCGTACTGTATCTGTATGAGATCAATGTGTGATTTCATTAGTTGGAGTCATGCGCATCCCGGAGAATACGACGTTTTGCAAGTAAGTAGAGAGGGCTAGAGAGTAGAGACAGAGTGTCCTTGCCAGGACCATCTCTATTCCATTTCCTTCTGAGAGTTGCTTAGAATCATGACCAATAGTATTAGGATTAAACAGTGAAAAACCTGCAGGTGAGAAAAATGAACATGCTGACGAAATATTCGAGTAAAAACTTCCTGCTACGACAAGAAGATGACAAATATGTGATGAAAATCATAGGTGGCTTTAGATTCCAATTCAGACGGAATTGGAAGCGGATCAAATTGCTATGTAAAGGCTGGTTGGACTTTTCTGGCAATTCTGACATCACCAGACAAGCACACCTTGAGCCGGACCGTACCGTCGATTGTAGGCTCACGATGCCCACTCCAAGCTCAAGGCGTTTCAAGCCTCAGGACCTCAAAATAAGTCAAGAAGGGCAGCGTCGAAAGATTCTTATATGATATGATCGTCCATGGACTGTTTTGTCAATTGCGTTTGAGCTGCGGATGATGTGATGCGTAGACATACTAGCAACCATTCAGAGTTCGGAGTTCGTGCAAGTTAGTGTCACCTCTGATGAAGCTCCAAATTAAGCTAGCCTGTGCTGTTCCATTAACAGAGATGAAAACTTGAGCTAGCTTGCGTCTTTCACTATGGCCAGACAGCAAAGCATTCGGCCTGTCAAAACTCGACACCATTGAGTACGTCTTTGACTACGTCCTCTTGACGAGGCTACCTATGCAATTGTTAGAGAGAGCTTGCTCGTGTCGTGTTCCGTTCGTGTAACGAGGAAACGGACATCATTTGTCCTCTTTGTATGTATAACGAGAAAAAGGTGAAAATTACCTGGCATAGTACCAAAGTTTTGCAACCGTGTTAGCAAAACATTCCAAATTCCATAGAAATAGCATGATTCGAATACAATTTGTTTCTTAAAAAAAAGAATACAATTGAATTATATGACCTCGATGAAGAGGGGGAGGGAGGTTTCAAGTTTGGAGAAGATTGTATGGAGGAATAGAATAGAAAATTGGAATTGAGGAAGGAATGCTACTCCAAATTTAGAGAGGGGCTAGAGGGATAAAGAAAGCTAAGGATGATGAATATGCCTTTTGACGCCCTTAATTTCTCTGTTCACTTTTGATCACACTAAGAGCACGTACAACAGCGGTCGTAAGGTCGTCAGGCTAATTCGTGTGTTGGAGTGAATTGAGATAGAATTTAAACTAAACCAGTGCAACCAAATAAAGGCCTAAATGAGTATCTCCATATCTGGAAACGGTGGCCGGAATCACTGTTAGGTTGAAATGAAGCTCATGCGAGCTACTGCCGATGACCCGGCGGCGCTGCCAGGCACCAGCGTTCTCTCTCCTTCACGTTTTTTAGTCCATGGGCCCAAAACCAACAAGCCTGCAGCCCAAGTGCAACAAGCAAGCACAAAACACGGTCAGCCCATTACGTGCAAGTATACTATCAGCTATCTAAATTGTTCTGCTCAGAAAAAAAAAACTATCTAAATTGTTTTTCTTTTCACATATTTTAGCTAACAGCCAGCATAATAAACAAAGAGTTATGCATGCTCCCTGTTTGTTTCGAAGAATATATGTATGTTTGATTTTAGCATATCCTAAGTCTGCATTTTAATATCTGTTTGTAAGCATAGAGCATATATTGAATTTGAAAAATGACGCAACTTGAAATAATCGACATGCACAAAAAAAAATGTATTTCCTGTGCACACCAACTTGCGCTCTTCTTTTATCTTTACTGTATATTTTTTAATATATTCTATTATTTATTATATTGATCATTTTTATAATGTCATCACTATATCAGGAAGCAACAAAATGACGTACATCATTATCTAAAAAAACAAAATGACATACATAGATATTACTTAGGATTGATCATAGATGTATGTACATATTAACTAGTTTGCAGATAGTTAATTAAACAATTCAACAAATAAGCAGTTTATTTAGTTGTCTTTATGTGAAGTGACAAGTTCTCAGATACATTAATTGTGCTTGCCCTAACACATGACTAGTCACGTATAGGCACTATTGCAATACCCACAATCCCTATTGGCCCATCACTGCTGGGTATCCAGAAAATAATTGGGACCCTCATGCTCAGCATTGAATCTCTCTCAATGTCAGGGTGAGTGTAACACCTCTAGTGTTTTGACCTAGAACTAAAACTTGACATGTCATCATGTGCATTGCAAGGCATTCATAAAGTAGAAAATTTTGAATGCATTCACTAAATAAGCTTTATTTCATAAGTTGTTATTTTATGTGATGTAATGTGATTCAAAATTCTGAATAAAAATCAGGACCACAAGGGTCAAATTTCATGTGATCATGTGAGATCATGTGTCATTTGACTCAAATAACCCTAATGGGCCATGTAATTGGTCAAAAATCATAATTTAGTAACAAGGGAAACAAATTAAATGTGAATTTAAATTTAAATCATAAAAGTCCTTTTTGCCCCTTTTGTCTATTTCAAAATCCATTTGGAATTTGGGGGTGTGACAAAAAGCAAAGCTGAAGCTTATTTTACAAGGATCAACTTTGGTATTAAAAGTTTTTAAAGTTTACATATAAAATTTGGAGTAATTTTGAAATGATTCAAATGCTCAAATGCACCCCAAATTTAAATTTTAAAATAGAGGCAGAATTTGAAAATGTTCATTAAAGCAAAGTTGTAGAGCTTGAAAAGTTGAGCAACTTTCATTTTTGGAGATTTTCAACTTCTTTAGAAAATTTGTGAGTAATTTGCAAAATCAACGCAGTGGCAATTCTGTAAATAATTAAAAAAATCAAATTGAAGCCGCCGGCGCCACGCAGCTGCTTGCCGCCGACCATCTTCGCCGCTTTCTCACGCGGTGACATGCTGTCGTCTCCGTGGCGACCTCGTTCATGAGCTGTCGACGCCGGACGCCTCCGTCCCTTCTATAAATAGGAGCAACCGTCGTCGTCGTCCTTCCTTTCCTCTCTGCTCTGTTCCGCCACTGCTCAGCTCCGCCGCTCGCCGTAGCCGTCGTCGAACCGTGTCCGCCGTGCTTAGCTACACCAGCGTGATCGCCTCGACCTTGCGCTCCTCTTTGGCTTGCTCGCATCGTTTGGGTTGGCCGGAATCGCCCAACGCGACGCGTTCTTCCCCGCGACCGGCCGGAGCTCCGCCGCGATCGTCTCACCGTGGTCAAGCCACTCCGGTGAGCCTCTCGTCGATTCGTCTTGTGGTTTAGCTTCCCCGTGTCATCTTGTTGCTTGTAAGCTTGCTCGTTTCCCCTGTCGGAGCCCAGTCATCGGAGAGTGTCTCGCCGCCGTGTCCGTGGCCGCCATGGCTGGCGTGGAGCTTTCTTCGGTGCGCGTGCTACTGTTCTGAGGGTTGGGATAGGTTCGCGGGGTGGTGTAGATTGTTCTGGTGCAG